CTGGCGGCAAGAATTCTCGCTGAGAATAAGCCTGTAACCTACAGGCTTCTCAGCAGAGCGCTCAAGACCAATGTCAACACAGCGAAACGGTTAGTACTGCCACTGCGAATGACGAATGCCAGCTCACCGCAGACAGGATGCTCGCTGAGTTTTACAAGACGCAAAATGCACGAAAGTCGAAGTCTGTTCACGCCACTTATCTTCTCACCGGTACGCCTCGAAATAGCGAACAGAGCAATGGCTCCAAAATCCGAAAAGGCGAAGATACCGACATGCGCAGTTCTCCATTCATGAGTTCCATGCCCGACCAAGAGGAGGATGAAGACTCGGATTATGCAAGCGGTTCCGACGATGAGGATACTCCTGCACCAAGAGGGGTGAAAGAGACTCAAGTCTTGCTAGTTCGGGAAGAGGAGTTGGAGGGTACGTTGTGTCAAGGGTCGCTTTGGATACTCGCTGACTGGTATACCAGAGACTCTCGCAGGGCTGGAAGAAGGCGCATCGGTCCACATCTACAGCCTGGAACCCGGACGACTCGAGGTATGCTCGGTTTCGACTCGGAGTAGACGGTGCTAAACATAGTAGATCTTCGGAGTGTTGTCTCTATGTAACCACGAGGGTGTGAAACAGTACGCAGACGAGAACCCTTTAGAGCGATGGAAGACGTATGGCTCAATTCGTAACCAGTACATCAAGGTATGGTATTTGCACTGTGCAGGATGTGGACAATCAAGCTAATATCACTGTAGAGAAGGACTGCGAAGTACGCCCCTCCCACCGCAACCAACTCCTCAAAAGCTTCCGCAAAGCCAGCATCCAAGCCTGCGGAGAAGCCTGCCAGCAAACCTGCTGCAACCGTGGGTACAAAAGACAAGGAAAGCACCGAGGAAAATGCATCGGGACGGTCAACTCCACAACCTTCTGCGAGCGCAAGTACACTCAAGCGGTCCGACTCAAAGTCAGGAGCGAAGAAGGATAAGGCATCTAGTGACATATTCAAGTCATTTGCCAAGGCTAAACCAAAGGCGAAGGAGTCCACACCTGCTCCAGTAGAAGACGGTAGGTCGACCTTGTGCCGATGTCCATGCTATATTACTAACATGCCTAGAACCAATGCAAGGCATGTCTGAAGACGAAGGCGATCCAGACGATGAGCCCGAAGTCAAGATTAACGAGGAGAAGAACGAAGCAGCTCGCAAAGCCCGTGAGGAGCGAGCGGAGCGATTACGCAAGATGATGGAAGACGATGGTAAGTCCGGTGTAGCAGACATTTATCTCACATCTAACTTGTGCAGACGAAGACATGCCCGATGCGCCAGCAGCAGTAGAATCACAGACTGAAACTACTCCGACAGCTACAGCCACAGCTGATGCCGCAGAGCCAGCAGAAGACGAGGCCACGTTCACCGTGACGAATGGCCGGAGACGCGGCCGAAGACGAGTGATGAAGAAGAAGAAGGTCAAGGACGAGGATGGCTATCTGGGTGAGTCGACTCTGTGTGGTCCAGAAAATCAACTGACATGTTACAGTCACCAAAGAAGAGGCTGTCTGGGAATCCTTTTCTGAAGAGGAGCCTGCACCGAAGAAGGCCAAGCCTGCACCAGCTAAACCAGCAAGCTCCGCAAAGGGCAAGAATGCGGGTAAGAAGGGGCAAGGTAGCATTGCCAGCTTCTTCAAGAAGGCCTGAGACAGTGATTTCACTACTTGGTCTTGCTTTTTTGCTAGAGTATCTACAACTTTCGATTCCGTCACCATAAATAACTCGGGACGATAAATTGTGTTTCTCTGTATGTATGTGTGTGTGTGTGTGTTTTTAGAACGCTTGTCCATTGACGCTGTACATAGCCATAGTTCTTTTTCAAGGCAGAAAGAGTAGAATGGCACATGTACCACGTTACCATTTGCTCGTATAGACACGCCCGTTTTTTTTTTGAGCAAGAAAGTGGTCTAGTGTAGGCAGCCGGACTGGGGGGGGGGGGGGGGTGATCGTCATCCAAGTCGCCGGCATGTGTCACGCGATACGCTTGCGTTGTGCCCAGCGTAGTATAATATATGGTATATATTGACGTACTGTTGGGACTTCGGAGAGGCCGCGCCATGGTGCAACGTGGCTGGCAGGGGCGGGGTAAAAACTGCCCGGGGTAAGTACGTAGGTGTAACTAGACGCGGGAAGCAGGCGCGGAAGTAGACGCGGAGGGGTAAAGCTTTTTTTGTTATTGTTGTTGTCAGCAATTGAAACATTGGAATTGCTAACAATTCGATGCTTGAACATGGGGATTTTCTCCCATGGTAAAATTTTTTTGGCACTTGAGATAGTTTGGCACGTAATTTAGTTTGGTTAGACTAGAGCGGTGTCTGACCTCATTGACATGTTGCACGATCGCATAGCTGCTGGGTTGTAGTAGATGATGACGACATCACTTGAGGGAACATGATCAATTGCTCAACCACTTGAGCCTTTACCATGTCCTCTAGAGCACTTGCAACTCACCTCTCGACTTCTTCTTCTTCTTCTTCTCTCTCGAGCAACTCAGCAGCCATAGCTTCGCACCGGCTCTCGCGTGTCCTGCGCACCATGTCGACGACGACGCCCTCAACAGCAGCGCTGCCACCAGCACCATGGAAAGCACTCTTCAGCGAGCACCTGTCCAAGATGAAGTCGCCCGAGTTCGTGCTCGGGACGCTCGACAAAGCGCCGGAAGGCTCGCCGACACGGTACGTGCCGCGCGTGCGATACTGCATTCACCGCGGCTTCTGGACGGAGCTGCCAGAGAACAAGCACAACGAGGCGGAGCGGAACCCAGCCGTGTACCAGAGCGACTGCCCGACGTTCACGACGGACGTGCGCATGGAGAAGGTGGGGCAGATATTTGGGTCGAGCGCGGGGCACGCAGAGAGCAGCGAGCAGGTGCAAGGAAGCGGGGGTGGAGGGCCTGTAGAGGCCGTGTACTGGAACGCTGATACTGGCTCGCAGTGGAGGATCAAAGGACGCGCATACGTCATTGCTGATGATATTGAGGCGAGCGAGGAGAGCAGTGGGGTGAGGACTGTCAAGAGCGAATTGGGGAAGAGGATGAGAGTTGTGGATGAAGGCAAACAGGGCGAGTTCAGCTGGCAGAGGGAACTTAGGGGGTTCTTTGGGAACCAGAGTCCCGGGATCAAGGGTAAGGCGGCTTTCGTTTTGAAATGATGTGACTACTGTCTTGTGTGGTTCTGACACTGCTATAGGCTCTTTTAAGAATCCGCCGCCGGGCCAGCCGACGTCTAAGGCGTATGACCAGAAGCTTGGGTTGGGCTCAAAGGTTGATGGCTTGGATGATGAGGTGGCACGCAAGAACTTTCGGGTTGTTGTCATTGTGCCGGATTCGGTGGAGCAGACGGATCTTAGCGATCCGGACAAAGCGCGGAGGTACAGGCACACGTTTGATGAGAGCAACAAGGCGAATGGTGGGTGGACGACTGAGGAGCTGTGGCCGTAGAGGCAGCAAGTTTGTCGAGGGGCATTGCACTTTTCCTTAGGACAAGAATACGATTCCAAATGGTCGTGACACAAGACAAACAGGTTGGTGTTTTCAGGCGTCCGATTAGGCGCGGCGATGATGCGCGTTGTTGTGTGGCTCTGCAAGGGAGCATGTGTTGTGTAACCGCTTTGCCGCAGCCACCCACACTCGGGGGAGCGGAGTTTGTGGGCAATTTGGCAAAGAATACGAGGATAGCTCCGATGCAGCCTTTCCAAGACGCTGGCTCAGGTCGGCGACGTAACCAGAGGGCCTCGCTTGGCCCTGCTTGCGATGCAAACGGCAATGGACAAGTGTTGAGCATGCACGGCAGAAGTGCGCCGATGGCATCGTTACTTTTTCTGTAGTCATGAAAAGCACGGGGGGTTGAGGGACGAGGGCGCACAGACAGCGATCAGCTCAGAGGGGCAACGTTTGGGGCAACGGCTGGAGAGGCGGCGGACTGCGCGGGCTGCGGGCTGCGGGCTAGGCGAGCAGCTCGGACAGGGGGATTAGAGTTTAGGCGTGCGACTAGACTGTGTCGAGGGCACAGCAACGCGTGCATGTCAATATAAGTAGTCGTATGCGTACAGCCATGCGTGTGGTAGGCCAGTCGACGGGCACAAGGCCAAACGTACTGTAGCAGCACACGCAGACACATACGAATGGGCCATGGCCATGCCAGGGAGGGGGTTCGGTTTCCGCATGTGGCCGCTCACGTGACCCGTCCTCAACTGGGACTGTGCACGCGCAAATCACGATTAAACTCTGCCTAGTCAAGCTTCGTCCAGTCAGTCGCATCTTCGCAGTCCGGATACCACTCGACTCCTGAAGCCTACATAGGCCCGAAAAGCGAGCATGACAAGAGACAGTGGTGACACCCGCTCCGACGCCCGGCCAGCAGGCGGACACGATGGTTTGCAGGCCCATGTGCTCCCTTGTCCCCCTCACCGCTTCTGGTATCCCCATGTCGCTTCGCCCGTCGGCATCGAGCTGGGGGCGACATTGTTTTGTTTCGGCAGAGGCGCTGCGGCGCGGGCTCAAAGGCGCCGTGGCTGCGCTGATTGGGACCATTAGCCGCCAGACTGCGGCACACATGCGCCCCCCGTCGCCAGCCGCCATGGGGGAACGGGGTGGAGAGAAAGGCTTCTTGTCAACCGGCCGCCTGTCTCATCGGCCCGCTCGCTTTTGTGCTCGTCGAGCCAGGCCAAACGTTGTAGAGTAGCAGATGAGGCACCGGCCTTTGGCCATGCTCAGCGCCATTTGCGAGTAGCAATTGATTCATGTAATGGCGCCGCATACCTGCACCAAGACCGAGTGCGAGCTGCGAGCCTGCTGCTCCATCTTCGCCAAGGCTATGGCGCGTTGCTGAACCGCTCCCGTGGGAACCCCAATTGTATGCCGCCTTGACAACGACGTGTGTGTAATTCTGACGGCCCTTTCTCACCCCCCCTCCCCCTTCCTCTCTCTTCCTGTCCCTCTTCTTCATGCAATGCACTACCCCCCGGGGGTACGCAAGTCACCGTCTGGCCCCGTTGATCACGTCTTCTATCGGTCCTAGTCCCTGCCCACCAGCCGCCTCTCCCTCCCATAACTAGTAACTGCTGATCCTCAGGCCCGCCTGGTTCGCTGCTCGCACTAATTCTCCGCACCCGCTGTGCACACACCCTCACACACTCAAGTACCCCGACGCTGTCCCCTCTCGACCACACGACCACGCGACCTTCTTCCTTTGCTGCTGCTGCTGCTGCTGCCAGGCCTCTCTGTTCACACTACCCGTATCGCTGGCGCTGCTGCATGCGACAAGCCGCGGTCGCCTGCGCCGCTGTATCGCTTACTTCCGCATTTCCGTTCGCTGGACGCCCAAGCAGCCACCATGTCTGACATCGACAAGTCGTTTGCTTTTCTCCAGGACAACATCCCACAATGGCTGCACCAGATCACGACCGCCGAGGACAGGGTGACGGCAATGCAAGACGAAATCACAAAAGTACACATATCACAGTCGCCCTTCGCAAAGCAGAAATCAGATTCGACCGCTTCCATACGCCCAGGCAAACTCGACGCCATCGCAGAAGACGCCATGCCCTCGACTGCCACGCCCGCCGATCCTATTGTCAGCCGGAAACGCAAGTCTCTCTCCGTTTCCTCGGACCAGGAACCCGACTCCGCTCGCCACCGCTCTTGGGTCATGGTTGTCACCAGCTATGATGGGGACATGCAAAAGTCTTTTGAATTACTGGTTCGCGCTTTCGGAACAGGGCGCAACCTGCTGCGAAAGGCCAAGATGGAAGCCAGGATGAACGACATGGCCTCCATGGCATCCTCCAGCGACGAAGAAGACGATGATGATGACGAAGAAGATGAAATCAGCCCGGCCAAAGTAAATTACAAAGCACGCATGTCAGCACTGCGGGCACGATCGGCAGCAAGACGAAGTGGCCGGTTAGGTGTCAGTAGCGGTGTAGAGACACCAGCAGAACTATTCGACTCGACAGACAAGATACTCGAACAAGCACAAGAACTATGCGAAAAGGCAGCGCATCTCACCCTGCGCGACGGCGACTGCAGAAAAGAATTAGCGACAATACGGAAAAGCCTCGAGACCCTGTTGGAGACTGCCAAGACCGAAGTCGACAAATGCAACGCGCGCAAGTCGCAAGACCCACCAGAGTTGCAAGCACATGAAACCTCGGATACCTCCATGTCGTCGCTGGAACCCGAGGCGGTCTATCGGAAAGACGTACACTCGCTGCCGGTATCCGACCAACACTCCAAGCCCGCCGGCACAAGAGAAACCGCCGTCTCGAAACCACTAAACACTCTCAACATCGAGGCCGACGACAATGATGATTCCGACGAGGATTTTGTCTTACCCCCAATCAGGCTCACATCCCGCTTTAACCGATGAGACACATGTTTTCCCACATTTCTCTCTCTTACACATACAGTCGTTATCTCTCCAGTGCGTTCAAGCGAGTCACATTTCATTCATGTCTTTTCTTTTTTCCTTACTATTCCCATCTGGCGTTCACTAGGGAAGATTATGTGTGCTCGAAAGGAGGAGTGGAAATTCCCAAAACAACAAGCAAACTTCTTTTCTTTTCTTTCTCTGCATCATGTTGGAAATGAAGATTAGGGAAGGTGGGAAGCAGGCATAAACATATTATATCCACGGCGTTTCCGAGCTTATACAGCGCGCCTTTTTTTTAGCGAGTTTAGCTAAATATCCGGCATTTCGGTTTCAACTACTGAGACTGCATGAATGACCATTGTCATGTGCAATTTTATTGGTATTCATCAAGAAGAGTTTTTATTTCTGAGGGGAGGATATAGTAATCCCCTCTCTCCCCCTTTTTTTTCTCAAAACGTCGTTGGACATGGCGATTTCTGTTTCACTCGCTCTCTTGCCTGTAGGGTTAGTATTTGTGTCGGTTGATCTGGCAAGGTGCTCATGTGTGTATAGTCCTTTTTTTAATTGATGAAGTTTTCGGTGCATCTTTTATGTCTTGCGTTATTGTGTGTCCAATACTAGACGCTACACTTTTTATATTCTAAACTATCTTGTTGAATACAGTATCATTTGGTATGAAAGCACTGCTACAAATGCATCATCGATGGAGCCTTGACTACACGTCAGCTCTATGGTCACAGTCAGACCTTGCCTAGGTTGATGCGCAATGTTTGTGTGGTTGAGGAAGGAGCGCTGGAGTGGCAGAAGCACCATCTGGTCGCTCCTTCCTGCTAAAGACTCAGCCTTGTCGAACAAAACTCTCACCTCACTCCACATACACATTCATCTACTGCTCGTCATTGAGATAGCATTGCTACTTAACCTCAATATATATCGTGCATGTGAGATACGGATGCGGCCAGTGGTTGCGGATATGGCTCGTTCAATTGACTTTTCAGATTTTATTGAAGTCGACGACGACGAAGAAGAAGAAGAAGAAGAAGAAGAAGAAGAAGAAGCAATGACTCGCCCCGGATATGAAGACAGCGAGAAAATCACAGAACCCATTGAACCAGTAAGTCTATCTCTGACTGACTGGTACTCGAACTGACATGTACAGCAACGCGCGCCATCTTCTGAGCTCAGTTCTGAAAGCGCTGCATCTGAACTCGATGAAGATAAGAGCGTTGGTGTTGAAGAGTCACACCCTCGGCCTCCGCCTTCTTCTGCCCCCACTTCTCTCTACAGCTTTCGCACTCGGAATAAGAGCAAGCTCGTCTACGATGCAAAGTACCATCCTATGGACGACGCTATTCGGCCAACGCAAGCGGCAAGGCGTCGCTCAGTTCATGGAGAGAAGCAAGTCTGTTTCGACACAGATGACACAAATGAGGATTCTGCCGCTGTCTATACTGACGCAGAGGAGTCGGGTGGTGAATCTGGGAAAGAAACAAGGCGACGTACAGAGAACAAGAAGCGCAAGTTCACTCAGTCACGGCTGCTGTCAGTTGAACCTACTCGTCGTTCTCCTCGCAAAATGTCGGATACGAAGGTTTCGTACGACATGAATGTGCATCCTCAAGACAAGTTTCTGGTTGTGACCAGCGAGGAGGAAGTGATTGTGTCTAGGAAGAGAACGAAGAAATCCAAGCGTCTGCATGTTGACGATGTGGATTCGGACGGAGTTGCGCAGTGCAAACCTGCGTCCCGAGAATATGCTGATTATGTCGAAAACTCCACATCTGATGAAATGGAGTTCGATAGCGGAGGTACTATACAGAGGATAGAGATGGATACTGATTGTACGCAAACACCACTCCTTTGTTGTTCAGGGTTTCCACAACTGAATACTGACCATGTGGAAGCTATCACAATTGCTGGGAGCTCGATTCCGTCTCCAGAAGCAGCCAACCCGCAAAATGCTATCAAGCGTAAGGACAGTATTGACTCACTACACTTGTCCCCAGGAAAAAGATGTTTCCATCACGACAAAGATGCCTGGCCAGTCTCGTCAGGTCAACCTTTTACCATCTTCAACGAGAAGCTTGCGGACCAGCTAGCTCGTGAGGCACATACTGCTTCGCCGCTCAACTACGAACATGACGACAAAGAGAACGCAATCCACAACGACACCATAGATGTAGACCCGCTCTCTTCGGCAAATGCAAGTGTCTCCATCATTCCCGAAGCACAGTATAGGCCGACGAGCGAAGATTGCGAGTTGTTGAATCATCGCGCTCTGATCAATTACGCTCTCTACGACGATCCTCATCCGCAGACATACGGTCTTGACGGAACCTACTGCAGCGGATCAGGGGAGATGGATGCGTTTTCTGAAAGCATGAGTATACTTGCTTCTGGTAGGGAGTTGCCTCTTGGGAAGGACACGGAGTGAATCAGAAATGTACTTGAGATTCAGCACTGGGGAGGAGGAAAAAAAGAGAAAGGAACAAAGTGGAATGTAACCGAGTCTTGTCATAACGGCGGTGGGACTCGTTGATACCTCCGAGGTGCTCAGACGCAAGCTTCCCCTGCTATTATCAAACCCATATTCCATGTCAGGTACCTATACCTTCACCATGTCTTGCTATTCCCCCAGCAATGTACTCGTACATCCATGTAGTCCTTTACGCAAAGAACACAACATCATCACATCAACGTACCTAATGTTTCAAACCTCATCACATTCCACACTCACCATCTCCACTATCATACATAGTAACTTACTCACCCCCCGTCAACGTCAACCCTATGACTAGTAACAAACCCATGAATCCAAACCCAGCCCTCGGCAAACCTAATCCCCCCCTCTCCCGCGTATACCTACCCTCCATTTTCCCTTAACCAACCCCCCTAGCTATAACCGCCAGCACCCATGTAGCCATATACGTCACTACCTCCCCATCCCTTTCCCAATCACATAACCAGCAAGTAACAACCATGATTAAGTTTCAAGTGAGTAAGTTATAACACAGAAAAACTTGTACTACATGATTTAGTTTAACACCATTCCCACACTGCAGAAACAAACGCGACGCCTGCTTCTGTTTCGTGGATTTTTTTTTCCCAGGGCCCCCCAAACACACAAGGCACCACGCCGACGAACGCCTGTTCTGTTGAAACGCTTTTTTGCTGGTCATAATACATTGTTTATCTCACCCTCCGCCCCCCCCGCCTGTTTTATATCCCGCTTTTATTTACCTGGGCTTGCTGCAGCAACACCCCTTTGTGGATACCTGAGGCATTTGCTTCTAGGGGTGTGTGTGTGGGGGGGGAGGTTAGGCTTGAGGGTTTTCTTTTAGAGACTTAGGGATGAGTTGGGTGGTGGTGGGGAAGTTTTTTTTTTCGCGGATGTGACGAGGTGAGACAGAGGGGGGGCAGTGTTTTCAGGTAGGGGGTGGGACGGAACAGGCAGGCTTCGCTGTGCTGTTGCTGTTGCTATGCTAGAGTCATGAGCGAGCAAGTAGGCTGAGATACGCGGTAGACAGTAGTATGCATTTCCAATCCGTCGTGGTGGGGTGGCTATGTCGCAGCGACTTGCATGTCCAGGTGAGATTTTACGCCAGCGTACGTAGTTGCATGGTGCGAGAACAGGCCGGCTTGGATTTCGTTCTGTGTGGCTTGGAAGATGTTGCTAAGCTCAATGCAGTGCTACAGTCAAGCTTTTCCGGTTGGGGGATTTTGTTTTGCGGGTGCGGGTGCGGGCGTATGGCGTATGTTGTAGGCAAGCCACAGACGAGGGGGGTGACATTTTGGGGGGAGCCCTGCTGGAGATGTGCGCCACACTTTGTTGCGTGTGCTGGTTCTGTCCTACTATCGTATGTCTATCGATATGTGTCGTGCGATTAGTGGCAATATTTGGAGTGTTGGATCACGGTACTCTTTTCTCTTCGCTTGCGGGATTTAAGATTTTGCGGGGTTTTTTCTCTCTTCTCGTGGTGTTGCTGCATGCAGCGTGGGCGGAGTACACTACACTACACTACACTACACTACACTACACTACACTACACTACACTACACTACACTACGCATGCAAGGCGTGGTGGTGTCTCAATATGACTGTGCATGTACATAGCAGTGGTGGCCTGGCTGACGGCTTTTCAATTCTCGCAATTGTTGCGTCTCATCTGCTGTGTCTGATCTGACGGCAGATCTTGAGTGCGGAAGCCCGGATACTAGGGTGGGTGGTACCAGATAGCGGAAGTCAGCATAAATCGTGCACGAATTATGCACGTGTCGTAATCCAGTTGCCATTGTTGACGCCAGACGGAGGGCCTGATCACCCGCCCGAAAAAAAAGAAGGCCTGGCCACGATGTTTGGACGATGACAAGCACACGTCTAGTACTGTTGAAGTACCGTTGAAGTCCACTCTTTACTTGTTCTCACTACCCCGCATGCGCATATCGACATGCAGCCAACAGTGTCGATCTCTATACCAGCGGCCAAAGTCAGAGCAAGGCTGGCTGAAGAGGCTGCGGCCGAGTTGGAGTCTGGCCATGTGTTGTGCGAATACGAGCCCGCAGCGGAGCAAAGGAAAAGCCAACTCTCGTATGGGCCCTTCTGCTGCTGCGCAATCTGCGTAAACGGGCTGCCACGGAATACCCCTCGTCATGTTCTGTCGGATCCAGAACGGTGGGCGTGTGTCCATCTTTGCCTTTGTTGGCAGCACCCTAGTTCCTATTTGGGCAACGAACCTCCTCTTTGGTATACACACGTACTCGTTTAAGCGACAGGGCCGCGACGGTTGTGGGCCCAAGTCTAGATTCCACAGCCTTTTCATTCCTTGCGCTCCTGCAACAATGGAGACTGCGATGCTTGGCGGCGGTTTGATGAGCGAGCGGAGTGAATGCCAGACAAGTTTCTGCGACAATGTCAAATTGACGGGGGGAAGGGGGGGGGGCAAGGAACAGTCGCGTGCAACCGATAGTGCATCGCGTAGTATGCTAGCGGCCTGGGGGAAGAGCCCTATGGCGGCAGAGCACGAGGAAGAAGTAAAACGTCAACCTCACCCCATTCCGGCCTGCAGCCGTACGGCAAGCTTCTCACTACCGTCATCGGAGCGGCCGCGGCATCACACAGTGCATCACGCTTGTTGCCTTTGGCATGCGCAGGCAATTCCGCTGATGGCCATGCTACTGCTCACCCGAACGCCAACCGCGTCTGCGCCCACTGCGTACCATGCCATTCGTATACAATCTTGCCGAAATCACCTGCGCCGACGACCGACCTCTTGCACATGTAGTACACGCGCGTGCATGCGCCCTGCATACCAACTACTATACGCATGCTTAACCTCAATTGCCGGCAAACCATCTGTCTAACTCAATCTCGGCAGTCCACAGCGACGCCAGCCTAGCCTTGTCCATTGAACCAGAGGCCAGGCCGACCGAGACTCCGTGGCTTTTCAACTTGCTGTCGACCTGCTCGAAAATAGAGTGAACAGAGTCATTGTTCATCAAATGCCAAAGCGGCCTGTGTCGACCCGCTTATCGTCATGGCGCATGGTCCTTTGTTTACCGTTTGCTTTTCCGCCATGTTTGTAACGCTGACACCTCCAACGTCTGGAGCAATAACAACATGGGCTTCTAAGAATGCAGCTCACACGAGATGCAACACTATTATCACACTTATGATCTGACAGTCCGCCCTCCCCTGTCCTCGTTCCAACCCCCCTCGGCCAACGTCAGATTAACCGTGCTAAATTCCTTAGCGGTCAGATAGCCTTACCAGGCCTTGTCTAGGCTCAAAGTGGAGACCCTACCTACAGGGTTGCCCACCCGGCCCTGCATCAGCCAGGCACCGCCGCTTCCTCCTAATATTACAGCAACAGATGCACCACGCGCCGCATGTCGCACGCCACCCAAGTCATGCACCCCCCTCCACAACCTCGCTGTTGTTTCTCTAGCGACGCCCATGGCCGCAAGGGGGGTTGCGTGGGCTGTGAACATGGAGTCAGGTTGCCGTGCGCTTCTCCGCTTCGTCTGAGACTTGGATATAAGAAGCACTTTTCACCTGCCAGAGGGGCTTTTTGTCCCAGGCTACCATTCACTGCAATATCTCTGCAATCTGCCTTTCCCCTATTTTGACTTATCGCTGCGAACTAGGCCCTAGCTTTATTGTAACCTCTATATTTGAGTCTGACTACAGGATCGGCACAAGGGTGTATTCATTCCATCGTCCCGCCCGTTCGAAATTGTGGAAACAGTTTAAATTACTCCGGCTCCTCGTATTACCACAGCATCTTGATCCATTCCCGATATCTCTGGGAACCAGACATCTGGCATCCTTTGGCGGCCAGTTACGAAACCATATTTGACGCCCACCATCGTATGTGCGCGATATATAGGCATTCCATCCCAGCTTGCCTTTTTTCCAAGAGTGCTTCTGGAACAAGGAACCACTCAGAGTTCCCCCCAAACCTTTTGCACCCCCGGTAAACCTTGGGTCACCCGTCCTACATCATGGTCAAACTCGGTGCTCTGGTTCTTGGGCTTCTCAGTCTGACGACTGAAGTATACGCGCAAAGAGCTGTTAGAATAATGCCCTTTGGGGCGTCTATTGTCTCAGTAAGTCGTGACATTCAACCTCTCGTATACACAGTTTCCACATGCTAACTTTAAATCTCAGAGATGCTGGCGCGCAAACCTCCAAACCTCTCTCCGAGCTGCGGGTATTACCAACTTTGAGTTTGTCGGCAGTCAAACAGGAACATGCTCTGGCACCAACATCGAACAAGCACACGAGGGCCATCCCGGATCCCAAGCAACTGCCTGGGCTGCCACCACAAACCTGACAACAAAGCTGAAGCTGAATCCCCCGGATGTAGTCATCATGCTCATCGGCACCAACGACGTTCTCATCGGCCAAAAACCCATTGTCGAGATCCTCGCCGCCTACGACGTCCTCATCAGCCAGATGCGCGCCAACAACAACAGAATGCAAATCATCTTCTCCAACCTACTTCCTCTGGACCCGGCCCGCTTCAAAGCCACGCCTGTGCAGGGCATCAAGGACCTCAACGCCCGAATCGCACAATACGTAACTACGCAAAACACCGCCGCCAGTCCCGTCCGCTTTGTCGACAACTTTTCGGGCTTCGATCCCGTCAAGGATACCGATGATGGCGAGCACCCCAACCTGACTACTGGCGTACAGAAAGTGGCAGCCAAGTTCTTTGGACCAACAAGAGATGCCATTAGAGCTGTTGCCGTGGCCAAAAGGGCTAGGACTGTTAGTGTGAGGTGGAGGAATAGAGTATAAACAATCATTCTTGTTGTTTTATTGTTTTCGTTAAACTTTGTAGCATTTTTTTAATTGGTATAATTTATGAAGTGACGACCTCTTCTTTGATTTTCGCCCTTTGATGCCAAGGCTATTAGGATTATTGGTGTTGATACCAGTGCTCTATGTATCCATTTTGACTTTTTGCTTCCCCCCCCCCCCCCC